GGCAGTGAGGAGGGGGGTTTCGATGAATAACCTGCAAATGAGATCCGTCCTGATCTTACACTTGAAATTCTCTCTTCACTTGAAACCCAGACTTTCTTTGTTTGCAGGATCCCCTCCTTATTATTACTCTCCCTGCTGACTGCCTGGAGAAACTCAACAGTGTTCAATTGTTTGTTGCAGAGGTCTGATGTTCTCACTCCTCCACCTTCCCAGGCATACATGTCTTGGGGATTTGGGGTTTTCTGTTTTTGTTTTTCCCACCGAGAGTATTGTGAAACTGAAGAATTCCTAAGAGCTCTGCCTCCAGCTTCTAAAACCACATTACGGTTTCTCTTTGTTATTCTTCTGTCGTTTGTCTGATTCCCCTCAGTTAATACCCATCCTAGAAACCCAGGAGCCTCACACTTGCACCGACTCCAGAGACACACAGTGCGGGCCTCCGGGAACTTCCAGTCAAGTCTTAGCCTTTCTCATTCTGCCTCATGATGCTGAGGGGTTTCACAACTGCCCCTTTTCCTAAAGATTCCTTCCTAGCAAGTCTGATACGTTAATACTGAGAAGCAATCCTATTCAACTAATGTTCCCAATGAGGTGTTCCTAACTGAAAGTGGCTTGCATTTTAATAGAGGGCTTAACCCAAAGTGTTAGACCAGTGGTTCTCAACTGAGAACAATTTCATATAGTGGGTGGGTAGAGACTAGGGATGCTTCCAAACATCCTACACTATATAGGACAGCCCTCTCACAGAAAAAGTTGGAAAATTGGAAAATTTCATTGACAATTTCAGAGCAAAAATACTGGGGGGAGGTATCCTTTGAAAAACATACCTAGACACATGAATCAACACCGCCTCTTTTTATTTTAATTTTTCAAGATATAGGGTCTTGCTATGTCCAGGCTTAGGACACCATTATAGCTTTCTATAGCCTTGAACCCCTGGGCTCAAGTTATCCTCCTACCTGAGCCTCCCAAATAGCTAGAAATATAGGTGTCTGCAATCACGTCCAGGTATTTTTTTTTTTTTTTTTTTGTAAGAGAGAGGGATCTTGCTACTTTGCTCAGGCTGGTCTTAAACTCCTGGCCTTAAATGACCCTCCTGCTTTGGTCTCCCAAAGTGCTAGAATTATAGGCATGAGCCACCACACCAGCTGCTCCCTCTTTTTTAGATCATGCAAGTAGGTGTGAGAGTTTTTAGATGGGTAGGTGGAATCCTAGAGGGATAGGGTGCAGTGTAACCACAGGGCTACAGTGCGGTGCTTGAAATGCAAAACCAGTGCCTTGATTAGCCAGGTCACCCCAAAACATAGCTCATCCAGGAGGAAAAAGTGGGGAGGGTGGCCATCCTTTTCTAGAGGAGAGTTTATTCCCATTTTCTGAGCTTTTACTGCTTGATGGAAATAGCCCATAAACTCAGGATGCTCAGATCTCAGTAACCAGGCAAGGGATGCTGCATATTTCTGATCAAGCAGAGAAAATGCCATTTCAGCCCAGAGTCAGCACTTACAGGGAACTCAATAATTTGAGAAGTTGATGGAGTGAGTTAGCTGCTGGGGAAAGACACCAGATTTATGAACACCGACAAAACATGCTAACATTGAGAGAGGGCAAGCACTTAGATTGGTGCACACAGGAACACACAGGGTAAAATGTGGTGTAATTTCTCCATTTTTAACATAAGTCTTACCCATCAACTCACAAGAATAGCTGTCAGTGATGCAAGTCAATTGCGTTCCCTGAACATCTTTACAAACTTGAAAGATGCCTCTCAATTGAGTTGTTTGAAGTATGGTCCTGAGAAAAGACAAGGGAATCGTTCCCATAACCTGCAGGGACATCTTTTCACTAGAGGGTTTGGCAAGACTACCATGAGTTTAAAATAACAAAGTTAACACTGAAAATCGACTTTATTATGTTTTGATTTCACAGAAAACGTGGACTTGTAAATAACAATAGTTCTTTGCAACAATCTGCGTGACACTTTTATTAGCTTGTGCAAGTGGGAGGTTTGGTTAAACAGAAATCCATGTGAATATCAGGGGGAAGAAAGCTACAGCTGGAACTACTATGATTTAGAAAAATAATAATCATGTTGGGTTTTGCAAACCACCTGTCACCTTGCTGATCCCCAGAAAAATGTAAAGAACATTCTCATGGATGAGTGAAAATTTTCTCTGCCTAGGTAAGAAGAAGGTCAAAAGACGCATGGCTTAGCTGTCAGCTCCCACCAGCAGATTGCTTTTCAGAGGTTCAGTGCAGACCTGACAAAAGCTATTTACCAGCTTTGGAACTGGGGAGGTTTATTTGTTGAGTACAACTCTTGCTCTTAAGATAAGGAAACCCAAGTTGAAGTACAGTAAATAGACACAAAAGAATGGTTCTGGTCCATTGGGCACTGCTCTGAGCCTTTATTTTGAGAGTCGGCAAGAGAGCTGAATGTTTTTCAGCTGAGCGAGACAACAACAGCCCCAGGCCAGCTTTTAATAACCAAGAAGAAAGGACAATACCCTGGCGTGAACAAGCCGGCCAGGAGAGCGCATGCACGGTCATGTTGTCCGCTTCTGAGACAGCCCTGCTTTAGGTCTGTTAGAGTTGACGTGAGCTTCCTTAATAAATTAATATGGCCTAGAAACGTCGATGTGAAACTGGATTTTCTGACTTTAAAGCTACCTTCGCTGAAAAAGAACTGCAATGCCTGATTTTTTTTTCAGACTTTGTAATAATTCTAGTTAAAAAAAATATATAGTTGTGACTGTTTCAAAACATCTGTTGAAATTAATATTGGCTGCCTAAAACAGAGCTACACAATAGGTGTGGGCAATCTGAGCCATGGCCTGGGTCCCTGAGCCTGGCGGGCCTCACGATGGCTCAGGAAGTAGGTGCTGTGTGTGAGGACAGGGAAGTGACAGGAGGAAGAAGGGTGGGGGTTACCAACAAAAGCAGAAGAAGCCACTGTCCCCCTCCCCCCTTTTTTTAAGAGACTTAGTCTCACTCTGTTGCTCAGGCTGGAGTACAGTGGTACAATCTCTGCTCACGGCAACCTCCGCCTCCCGGGCTCACATGATTCTCATGCCTCAGCCTCCTGAGTAGCTGGGATTACAGGTGCCTGTGTTTTTAGTAGAGACAGAGTTTCACCATGTTGGCTAGGCTGATCTCAAACCCCTGACCTCAAGTGATCCACATGCCCCGGCCTCCCAAAATGCTGGGATTACAGGCGTGAACTACTGTGCCCGGCCTGGAAAAAGCCATTACCCTTGATCACCAAGCTTGGCCAGTCACCTGGCAAAAGTCACCAGGTTCTTTCCCTCTCACGTCCCCTCCCATCATCTGGCCCCACCCAGATGCCACAGGATAGATCCCTCTTTTCAGATGTTTATTTCAATCTGGTGACACCTGGTGAAGGGAGACCATATAGCATTCTGGGGTTGCCCTAAGCCTCTTCCGCTTCCATTCTGAGGCATCTGTAGTCCAGTAACTTGCCGGAGCCCTCCATTGTCCCTGAGGGGCACAGAGCCAGAGCTTGGTGTGGTCACGGCACTGGGAACTAGTGTGCTTGAGCTTAAGTCACTTGAGGGGATAAATTGGTCTCATAAGGCAGAGCGTCAACTCTTTCAGGCCATGGAGGGCTACCCAGGATGTTGAAACCGAATGCACATTGACAAAGTATGTTCCAAGAATACAGATAGATATCAGTCAGCACCACACACCAACTTACAGAAGCAAATCTGTTAAAGAAAACAATTTATATGCTCAGTCTCAGAGTCATGTGCAGATTATATCTTTATTGCAGAAAACTCCAGTGAACTAGTCTATGTCTTGTTGCAGGAACTTTTTCATATATTGTAGAAAATTAATAGACATTATCTTGGACCTAGAAAACTTCCACTTATAATAAGGTTTTCATAAGGAGGAAATTTGTAAGGGGATTTCCCAGTTATTTTGTTTCGGCTAGTTTGTGCCATACAGTCCCCTTAAAAGCCTCAGATAATTCAGAGTTACTGAAAATTAGGTTCCTGGACTACTGGTCCTCTACCAAGCTCTAAGGCAAAGGAGCTTAAAATTACCTTCAGTTATTTTCTAATTTTTTTCCCAAATAATAGACATTTCCTTTCAGAAGTAAAAGTGGATAACAATATTTCATTCTCTCATTTTTCCCTCCTCAGTGGCAGGACCCATTGCCACTTGCGATGGTTGCCAGAGTCTCCCTTATGGATTAGGACAATTTACGTAGGTTTCTATGTGGATATGCTTCATCCCTTTGTTACCAGGAGGGATATATCTCAGCATAGAAAGAATGTCAGATCTAAACCTCCCAGGCATAATAATAATAAAAAAAGCAAACACCCCATTGGAAGCTAAAATTATTTAAAATCCACTGAGTTAATTCTGGGAGAAACTAGTTTGATTTAATGGATAAAGTCCTACACTATCTCAAACACTCAGAGTGTGGTCCTATTTGTGATGGAGCACTGGGCAATGGCCGATATGTGCTGATATGGGCACTGATCCCTTTACCTCTCCTGTTCTCAATTTCCCCAAACTGAAGGGAGCTGGGATATCTCCCAAGATCCTTTTCAATTCTAAACACAGCCTGGATTGATGATTTCACAGTTCATCTAGCAGGATGAAGGGCTGGTGGCTGTGGGACCCCCATGAATGTGCCTTTGCACTCTCATGAAGGCATGCACACCAAGCTCCAGTGTAACTGAAGATGAGCAGCTGCACGTGCCTGGCCTCCTTCACACCACGCTCAGAGCAGCTACTGTCTTTCCACTGCTTCCACCTTCTGAATCCATAAAATAAAAGGAAGAAAGGGTCACTTTGGAAAAGTGAGACAATAATTTGGGGGTTTGGGAGCGAGGGAAAGGGGATGAATTCTGTCATTTTTAAGAGGGCTGGAGGCCAATGTCAACTATGACAAAGTACTCCAGTAGGTTGTTTTCCACAAGCCTCAGTTTAAATGACCTAATGCACAGTATGAAAGAATGAGGGAGCATCAACAGTTTGATACCAGATGCATGCAATGAAGTATCCTGTTCCGTCACGCTGTACGGAAGTCATATACAGAATAAGAACCAACGTTTTTAAGACCACTAGAAGTAGCTATTTCACCTTTCTTTCATTTAATATAAAAAATGGTGCAGGCAGCCTCTCCATTTTCCCTGAATGTCATCTTTTGGTTGATGGCAGAAGCCAACGATTATTTGTATACTGATGCTCCCATAATTACAGCTGAGTCCCTTAAATATAGTCTCCAAGTTATGATTTGTTTGCAATATAATATATCAGGGTTACCAACTTTATAAGCAATGCTATGTGTCATTTGCTTTAGGCTACAGTATCACATCATCTTGTAAGAATCAAATAAATACAATTAAATATGACAGGTCTTTAAACTGGGCTTGAAGATGTGATGGGCATTAGCTGACGGTGCACGTGGCTGACTTCTCTCAGACATCTGCTTATTGTCAGGCTGCCCCAGGCATGAGTTAGCTCTAGAAACCTCCCTGTCAGCATTTTAGTTTACCAATCTTGTATACCCAAAATTTTCACCCTTAAAGTCATTTCAGTTGTGAAATTCCATGGGTCACATGCATAACACCAGACAGGAATTTTATTCTCCCTTTTTTTCTTCATCTGTACAGATCCATTTCTAATATTCCATTCACTAAATTATTTTCTACCTTATTCACCCGATCGTTACAGAATATTGCCAGACCATTCATCTTCTTTTTAATTCCCTTCAGGTTCTACGTGAGAAGGAAGTCTCATTCCCTAAAGACTTTTTATATTGAGGGGGCAGTAATGTAAAGCATCCCTTTCTGAGGGTTTTGCTCTTACAAAGATAAAACACACCATAGTATCAAAGGACACATGTCCCCACCTTGTTACATCAGATTTTAATATGGCAATAAATGCCTTAAAAATATACATTTTAAGCTTAAAAATGTATTGAAAGCCATCCTTCTCCAGGTAATCACCAATTACCCCTAGAGGTGGTAGCTGTAAAATCACTTAATCAGACAAAAGTCTTGGTCTTTTCAAAAATTAAAGTGAAGTCTGTGGCAATTGATTCTGCTTTCTTTACTGTACCCATCAGAGAGAAGTATGGAATTTCTTAATTAGGAACATTTGTAGTGGAAAGACATTGAGAAGGCTCCTTTGAGACACTCTTTTTTCTACCTGGCAACTGCTCTAGAACGAAGAAAAGTCGAGGTGGGTGGAGACAGCGGTCTGGGCCCACCACCCTCCCAGTTGAATAGCCTGGCATGCTATTTCCAAAGAGAACTCACCAGGAAGGGAGATGACCCCAGAACGCTGGGAGATGGATAGAATAAGGGTTGGCTTTAGTTGCAGCATGCGGCCCCCTGTCCTGAGGCCCCCAGGGAGGAAGAAGGGACTTCTGTTGAGAAAAGGGCCACATGCCTTAGGAAATATCCCCACAGAGAGAACCCGAAGGTCCAGTGTCCTTGCAGATCCAATGGAGTCCTTGTAGAAGGGAAGGTGGATGGTTACCTCTGCTGGGATCATGTGGGGCTTGTCCAGTCAGCGTTCTTGGGTGCCTTGCATGTGTGCACGTCCAGGGCTTCCAGGCAGTCCTGACAGCGCACGGCACAGCACCAGTGGAACTTACACCCACACTTGATCATCCGGGTGACATGGGAGGTGTCGTAGCCTCTTCCACAGCACATGACTTCACAGCTGTCCATGCCCCGGGAAGTCAGGTTGCACACACGGCCTGCTGTACCCAGGGAGCCTGGAAGACAAGCCAGGGAGTGTTACCAAAAAGGTCTGGGTGGAATACAATATGCCTCCGGAGGAGGAGTCACGAGGTCCATCCTCTAGGACAGAGCCCTGGCCCTCTCTCCCCACAGCCTGGGGCTGTGTTCTGTGGGCCCATGCCGTGTGTGCTAATCCCTCTGTCCCAGCTGCAGGGAGTGCAGTGGTGCTGAGAGGGCCGAGTCCCAGAAGTGTTAACATGAAACCTTGGATTTCCTTGGACAACCTGAATCCAGCTTTCCTACTTCTGAGTTGGATCGACTTTTCAGATTATCCTTACCCAGTCTTGAATTTAAGGATCCTTGACTGAGCAGAGTCAGATCAGAATAAAAGAAGGATCTATCCTGGTTCTCTCTCCCTACCTCGAACCACAATAAGGAAGCAGCAACCATAGTTAGCTGTCTTGAAATTTGTCAGGGCATGGAGCCCTCAAAGGGAGGGAATGCTATCTCCCTAGACCTGCTTATTAGAAAGAGAATAGCACTCTGGTTCTGAAGGGGAGGCGTGGGCATCATTTGTGTGAGGCCCTGAGGAGGGAGAAGGGCCCGCCAGGTTTATCATATTAACTGTCTTCCCTGCTGCAGTCTAGCGGAGCATACAGATGTGTGTGAGGTCCTGGATGAAGCCAGGATTCTACACCTTCAGTAAACAAAACTGGCATAGAAAATCTGCTAGGAATTACCAGTGGAACATCGTCTTAGTTACTCAGGGTGATGTTTGCTAACTGACAATCCATACTTAGGTATTTGTGTCTAAAAAAGAATTTTAAAGATAGAAAGTTTATTCATTTGCTCTACTCTTGGGGGAGCACTCAGAATTCTTTTATAAGTGCATTATCAGACAGCAGAATAAAACGTAGTAGACATTTTGGGAGGGTATGATGGGCTTATCATGATCCTTTCTACTTCCTCCTCCACAGCAACGGGCACCTGGCAGTCGTGTTGTATAACATCTCCCTGCTCGCTGGTGACAAATGATTGGACCAGGGGAAACCACCTGACTCAGGTAAATTCCCTGGAGATTTGTGATTTTGACAGAGATGGTCTTATGCCACTTAAAAACTCAGTTGCTGTTGGCAGCTGTACACCATGGTGAAGTCTGTGGACTCAAGGAGATCCACAGAGAGATAGAAATGAAGCAAATGTACAGTGACAGTGAAGGCAACACATGGAATGAGTATGCTCCTCAGATCCTGAATTATTTTTCTGGTTCTGCTTCCATTTCTCCCTGAGGCCTGGCTTCATTCTAATGTTTGAGTTCCTAGAGACTCTGTATCCTTATAAGAAGCTTCCCCTTGTGGCTTAAATTGTCCCAGTTTCTACTGCTTGCTATCAACAATCCTACCTAATTGACACACCTAGAGAAGCTAAACTCTTACTAAAAAAAAAAAAATTTATATCAGGATGAAAAAGACAGTGACTTAATTCATTTTCAGTTTCTCCATCATTTAACTAGGAATGTCTTCCTCTTGAGAGCTCTGACAACGCCTCGTGACTGTCTCTCTGTTTATCACAGTCCGCTCTGTGTTGGAATTATCTGCAGAAATGTCATTTTGCCCTGCCTGTTCAGGATGACCAGGGAAGCAGCAAGGTTCAAGCAGGGCGCGGGGTCAAGAAGAGAGGATGGGGCAGCGCTTGGTCAGAATGATTGGCAGCGGAGAGCAGGAAGGCTGGCCGGGGAACTTCATGAGGACAGGAAGGATGGCAAAAGGCCGGGGTCAGGGTGGAGGCTGGGTCAGCCAGGGATGGCTCCGAGCATGTATCGTGCTAAAGAAGCATGGGGTGAGAAGAGGCAGCAGCTGAGCTCAGATTCCAGGCAGCCATCAGGACAGTCCTCAGAATTTACTGATTATGCAGAAAGGACTCGTTGCCAAATGCTGCCTCTTTACAGCACACCCATTATTTCATTCAGTAAACATTTCGGGAACACAAACATCTGTAAGACACTGTGCCAGCTACTTGGGGTTTAGGGGACAAGGGAGAGTAAAATAAATAGGACCAAGTTCCTATTCTCAGTGAACCCACTATATGGCACAGAGATAAACATGTAAAGAGATACTTCCACTACTTTGGGTTAATTGTTTCATTTGCTAAGGACCTAATGTAACCCACAGTACAGTCATGTGCAAAGCACCACAGCAAACAGAGCTCAGAGACAGTCAAATGAGGTTATTTAGAACTCCGACAATCAGGGTTCAAATCCTAGATTTGCCATGTATCAACTGCGTTGTCTTGGGCAAGTTACTTAAACTTGTTAAGCTTCAGTTTCCGCCAGTGCAAAACTGGAATAAAAATAGTTCTTTCATCATAGAGCTGTTGGTGAGAACAGAATGAGATAATGTATAAAAGCGCCTGGCATAAAATCAGTGCTCAATAAATGTTAACTATCCATGTATTATCTAGAAAGTGTTTATTGAGTGACTACCATGTGCTAGGCAGAATTCTGGGAACCTGGGATATATCAGAGAACAAAACAAAGATCCTGCCCAGAGGAGCTTATTGTTCTAAGAGCATGAACCAAGCATCTTATAATAGTGATATTTCTTGGTATTGATAGTAATAGTAGCAAATAGGATCAGAAAAGGAGCCATCAACTGCACAGTTTTACAGAGGCGGTAGCATTAGACATAGGTGTAAAGATTTGCTGATTTAAAAAATGGGTTAAACAGCATCCCGGGCAAGAGAGAACCTTCTGGAAAAAATTCTGAGGGCAAGTTCACAAAAGACTGCTGATTCAGGGAGGGTATTAGGAACAATGAGCATAGAAAGGGAGGCTGGAGCAACAGGTTAAAGGGTCTGTTTTTGTTGTTGTTGTTGTTTGAGACAGGGTCTCACTCTGTCACCCAGGCTTGAGGGCAGTGGCACGAACATGGCTCACTGCAGCCTTGACCTCCTGGGCTCCAGGGATTCTCCCACCTCAGCCTCTCAAGTAGCTGGAACTACAGGCGCACACCACCATGTCCGGCTAATTTTTGTATCTTCTATGGAGACAGGGCCTCACCATCTTGTCCAGGCTGGTCTCAAACTCCTGGGCTCAAGTGATCCTCCTTCTTTGACCCCCAAAAGTGCTGGATTTATAGGCATGAGCCACACACCTGGCCTAACGGGTCTTTATGCCATGCCACAGTTTGATTTTTAGTACAAGGTGGGCGGTGGGCCTGTCCAGACCTTTAATTCTGAAAGCTATGTCGTGATGATAAGCCCGGAAGAACGGCTTAGGGCAGGGAGGAGGGCTGCTGGAATAGCCCAGGCAAGAGATACTGAGTGAAGAAACACTCAGGACAAATATGTGATTGGCCGAAGAGAAGGAACCACTAGAACCTGATGACTCATTGAATTAAGGAGTAGAGGGAGTGTCAAGTAGGAAAACTATAAAAATATGTTCATTTGGTGGCACAGCAAGGTGGTCACTGGCGCCCTCGATGAGAGCAGTTTCAGTGATAGAGGTGAGTGTGGTGGAGGAGGGGACAGAGAGTGTGGGTAAAGTTTTCGAGAGGCTTGGTGATGAAGAGGATGAAAGAGAGCAGAGCCAAGAGCGGTGATGAGAGCAAAGGTGGGATTTCATGATTGTTTTAGGTCATCATGTTTTTTGGTGGTATGTTTTACAGCAATAGGTATCTGCGCAAGGTTTTCATTTCCAATTAGGTTTTCATTTACATAAAGCACAAAAATGGGAAAAACTTGTCATTGCTATTACAGTCAAGGAGGTGATTTCCCTTGGGGAATAGAGAAAAAGAACGTGAGAGATGCCTCTGGAATACTGAGCTCCTTCAGGTTCTTGATCTGGGCTCAGGTCATGTGGGTGTGTCCATTTGTGGAAATTCATTGTGCTGTACACATGGGATATGGGTATTTTCTGCATGCGTTTCATATTTCAGTAACAAGAAGGTGGTGGAGGAAGAAGAGAAGGGAAGGGTGGAGGATGAAGAGGAGGAGGAAGAGGGGAAGAAGAAGGGAAAGAGGAAGGGGAGGAGGAAGAAGGGGAAGAGGAAGAGGAGGAGGAAGAAGGGGAAGAGGAAGAGGAGGAAGAGAAGAGGAAGAGGAGAAAGAGGACAAAAGGGAGGAGGGGAAGGAGGAGAAAGAAGAGAAAGGAGGAGAGGGAGGAAGATAAGGAGGAGGCGGTGGTGGCACGTGCCAAGGCCAGGAAATGAGCAAAGCTCTGCAGTGTGTGAGGAGCAGGAAAGTGGTTCCCCATGGCTGGAATACGATACTCAAAGGGGAGAGGGTCAGGAGATGAGTTCGGAGTGGTGAGGCGAAGCCGCATTGCGAATGGTCTAGGGGTTTAAACTCAAACTTGAACTAAAGCCAACAGGGCTTTCACACAAAAGGGCAACCTGTTCCAATTTGTGTTTCAGAAGGATCTCCATGGGTGTGGGGCTGGAATGAAGTGGAGGGGGCTGGAGTGAGGACAAGGAGACAAGTTAGAGACCAATACGGACTCTGGGCGGGACACGAGTGGCCTGGATTAAGACAGTGCTGGTGGGAATTGGAGCAGTCACTGAAGTCGAGAGAAGGTGAGGAGGCAGGAGCTATGGGACATGGTGACTGGGTGGAGATTGGGGGGAGGATGAGAAAAGTCAAAGGGGTTTCTCAGGTTCTGGCCCGAGTGACTACTGGTGCTGTTAATTCCCTGACATGGGGGACGCTTGGTTAGGGTCCCCTTAGAGAAAAGATGAGTTTAGTTTTCAACATGTTGAGTTTGCTGTGACTGTGGGTCATTCAGGTAGAAATGTTTGCTGAAAATAACTCCCTGGGACTCAGGAGAGAGGTGGGGATGAAGACTCAGGTTTAGAAATCTTTGTACAGCGGTGGTAAGTGAAGCTATGGGTGTGAATGAGACCCCCCAGTGGGTGTGAAAAGTACTCTCACTTGGCCTCCCAGAAGTGACTCTCCATTTTTACTTTTTTGTTGCTGTTCACATGCCCTGAGCACCAGTAAACATTCTTCCCTTCCACTAACCTGCGTTTATCAAAATGGG